GCTCTGAAAGGGCTGTTTCAGTGGGCCAACTCTTGCAACTTGCTGTAATATCACGATCCAACCACAAATAAGGCAGGTACTCTCGGCTTGCACCAATCAAGTATTGATACAAAAAAAATCTCTTTCCCAGCCCTCTCTGCCACATGAGACAATTCACTACAACAAAGGTGTCCTACATGGAAGCTTCTATAACCTGACTGATAGAAAATCCCCAGGTGCTGCAGACTCTTTGTCTACAAAATATGTTAAGGCCACATAACCTAACCCTTTCATACCAAGATGGAAGCTGCCTTATCATACGTCTGTAATTAGTTGGTCTGCTTCTTGATTGTTTTAGACTTACTCAAAAATTGGCATGTGACTAAATCCAACTTTGCCAAGGACCACCACTCTTCACACTTGTTTCTCTTAACAGATGCTCTGACCTTGGAAACCTCATGCCCAAGCAACTCTCCTGTGCACAGCTGGGATTGGCCTTTTAGACAGAGCTCTGGCAGCCGTGCGTTTGAAAGCTGCAATCTGGGACATGCGTCCGCTTCAGATGTGACGTCAGTGAGGTGCAAGTAAGACGGCAGAATAACCTTTTTGGGGTGAAGGGTGGAAGAGTCCACAGGATCTAGCAGGTTCCAAGGGAAAGCTGCATCCCCAGCACATGCTGAGTTCAACAGCAGGACATCTTTTTCAGGAAATACTGGACAATGAGTGGTCAGCTAACAGTGTTATGGGGTAACACTTGGCTTTTATTCACAAAAGTAATATTAAAACTTTTTACTGAAGCTGTTGGTATGACCACCAGCCAAATATAGTGATCCAGTTTCCACTTCATGCTGGAGAACTGAGGCATGATGTAGGCATTCTTGTGTCTATCTTCAGTATTTAACTTGCAACTGACGCTCCCATTTAGGAGCCAAAACCCTGTCGGCTTTGAATAGTCACTTTTTTTGCAGAGTTTAGATCAAGAATTCTGAGGTCTTTGCTTATCAAGCTGCCTCCATAGATCTTTAAAATAGAGATTGAACTGCTTACGGTTATGAAAGCTAGCTAACTATTGTCAGTGAATATTTTAAGAGAAGGATGTTCCTGAAGATGCAGAGGCAGGCAGTCTGCAGCAAAAGACTCTGCAGCTCTTGAAGCTTTTGCCACTGGTTTTCTGTAGAATTGTGCGGTGCGGAGGAGGTTGGGAGAAGGAGTGGTGGAGGTTCTTGCTGTTCAGGGGAGGAGGGATTGATGTTAGTGATGAATTCATCTTTCTCTGAGAGACCAGCTGTCTGCCTATACAGATAGTGGTGACTTTATCTGTTAGGTGCTTAAGGAAAATGGGCAAAATATCTCACTGTTGTTTGGACGATATGCAAATAAAGTGTGTATTGCCAGGTGGAAAATATGCTCTGCTGGTAACTATACTGATGCAGACCTTCCTGTTTCCATTACAATGATGGACTCTTCACTTACTGAGGTGAGTGCTGTCTCTGATGCTCGAGATGTGGTTTTGAATGGTTTCAAGCAATTGGTGCCTTACTCGGACCCGGATCCAGATTGAGCAGCTATAAATGAGCACTGCTCCAAGGTGAATGGAGCTGGCATCAGTCAGCAGGGTGCTGTGACTTCTTGTTCTGTGTGGAGCAGTCCTTTCTGTTTGGGCACAGTTCTGGAATACTGCACTTGTAGACCCAAATGTCTTGATGTTCACCTGCATCTGGGGCATGCTTTTAGCTGAGAGTTTTTTAAATGTTATTTCAAGGCTTGAGACAGTGCTGTTTCTGCAGTAATACTCAGTTCTGCCAGGGAAGTCTAAGTGATTTTGCTCTTTTTAACTGCCTGCAAGAAGCCACAGAACACTTTAGTTATGAATGCTGCCTTTCTCTGCACTTTCTCCCATGGCTACCATGTAACAGCTGGAAAATGACATCTTTGCTGTACGAAAACTTTCCTTCAGCTGCTGTGCTCAGATATGCCTTCACTGCTGTATTGAATCCTGCATCTACAGCTTGAGCTGTCAGTCGGCTTTCTCAGGGCAACAGCAAGATGAGCTGCAGCTCAGCGCTCCTACTTGTGCTCTGTGCTACAATACTACCGAAATTTAGACCTCAACCCTGCCACGCAGGGCTTCTAATTAGCTGTACAAACCCCAGTATTGGCGGTGATGATGGTGGAATATTGGTCAGTGGTTTCTGTGAACCTGGAAATAACCTTTGCAAGACCAATGAGCAGACAACTTCAGACCTATCCTAGCTGATGTGTGGTACCTGCAAGCGTAGCAGCAAATCAAGGCAGAAAATGCAGTGGGGGTAAAAAGTAAGAGTGATGGGGACTAAGTGTGGTTTCAGCACACTGCTTGGTTGGGGTAGAGCAGGTGAGGAACTCCTACCTTGTGCTGCTACTGCTTAAGCTACCTTAAAGAGGATAATGTCAAGGGCTCCAGCTTTATCCACTCCTTGTGCAAAGTCACAGCCTTGGAAAGTTGTTTGAAATGCCTGTGCTTCATTGCTCTGGAGCTTTCTGTAATTCCAGCTAGGCTCAGAAATGTCATTTTCCCTTTTTGCTTTTTTTAACAAACTTTCTGTGTGAATATTCTAGAGGGAGAGAATTAAAACGTTAAAACTTTCCCCAAAGAAAAGGCAAAACAGGTTGTGTCTAATATCTGTTCAAAAAACTGTGACGTGCAGCAAAATTTGAATATCCTTGTTTAATAGGAACAGTCTCCCTAGTTTGGTGGGGTTTTTTATAACTCTGTGGTTGCAGATGTGTTTGAGCAGATTGAGCCCTTCAACATGTAAGTAACTCTAATTATTTTGTCAAAGCATTGTCACTGTAGCAGTTTAGGGGCTGTTTGATAAAGGAGCTCTTCTAAGAACCAGGTGAAGCTTGGGCTTTTGATACTTGTTTTGATTTATAAATGTGAAAGTTGTATCACAGTCTAAAAACCAGATGATAAGCCTTACAATTGTTAATGCTTATTTGGGAGGAGTTATACAAGGCTGTGGCCAGAATGTCTGTTGTGATAGAGGATCCTTAGATTATTATGCTAACTGAAGGGGGGGAAAGCGATTAGGAATGTACTGCAGGATCTTCTTTGACACAATCTTTTTATTAGGACAAACCAACATTCTGTAATGTCCTGTACAAACAGATTTTATTAGGAAAACTAGAATGTAGGATTTTCTGTTTGTTTTTTCTCTTTAAGTGTAGCCTGTGCAATCCATGAGACCTCACAGTGCTAATAGTCAGTATGGGGTTTTAAAAACTGAATTGAGGATTTTCCTTTATTGAAAACAGAAACCACTGACCATGTGATTACCTGGAGAGGGCATGTAGGATAATGTATGACTTTAGTCAGTTCCAGGTGATGCAAGGTTTTTTGGTTGGTGTGGGGGCTGTGTGTTTGTTTTAAAAGCCCTTTAGATTTCTTTTGTTTTCATCCCAACAGGCTATTCTTTTTCACCTTTTCCTTCTCCACTACTCCTGTAGACCTAATGGACTGAACAAGGCAAATGCAATGCTGTGCTTCCTTAAGCTTAATAGAGAATTCAAATAAGAATAAAAATAGCCTGGATTTGCATTAAAGGAAACATCCGTCTGGCTGGGGCAAGGCTCTGCAAGTACAGTTGAGCTCCAATGGCTGGGGGAGCGGAGAGGAGAGAGAAAAGGCACTTAGTGATGCTGGGAGAAGTTGGTTGCCCTTGGAAGTGACCAGGGGGCTTCCTCACCCCCTTTTCTATTTTGCTGGGTTTCCTGGGTCCTCTGGTGATGTTTAAGGGGAGAGGGAAGATACCAGAACATAGTGATGAACATACCAGAACTTGCTGATGTGGTTTTTCTGTCGTGTCCCCTCAACTTCAATAGTGCTCTTGGACACTTGATATGTAGGGAGCTACCCAAAGCTGACTAGACTCATACCTTCTCTGCTTGGAGATAGGTTTGGTTTTTGGTGTGTGGTGGTGGTTTGGTGTTTTTTTCTATTCAACACTCCTCTTCAGCAGTGGGTGGAGGTCATCGCAAGTCATTACTGACTTAACCCTTCAAAACTCTCTTTCACCCTATATTTTCACCCATGAAGAGAGACAAATCTATCAGTTGAATAAGCAGGCTGGAGTTTTCTGGGGTGAAAAGCGGGATATTTTCCAGTCAGTATCTCCCTTGCCATATTAAAAGCCTTAAGAGGAAGTTTGTTTTGTTTGTGATGATATAAGACTCTGGTCCTGAACCGTACTCTAGTGGCTAAAGGAACATGAGCAAAACCATGTAGCAGCCTTTTAACTGTTTCATTCCTCTCTGCTGTTTGCATACGAAGGAGGAGGCCTGAAGCCTTCTGAAGTGGCTAGGTAATTGTTATATATAACATTGAAAACTAGTGTCATTCAAAGGCAGACACTAAAATGTACCACACAGCATGCAAGTTTTCTGTGTTCTGAATCATCTGCTCGGTCGAGCTGTTGTTTAGGTAGATAGAAGTCTTATTAACGAGTCTGATATCTATAGCTGAATGCTCTGTGCACCTCACTTGCAGGGTTTGAGGTCAAGACCTTGAAAATGGATGTATCTTGATGCACAGCATTAAGATAGAATGGTGATGTGGTAACGTGTACATCGGTCACTTGAAAATGTGTGTTAGAAACAAAACATGAAGTCAGGAACCAAAATACATCTCGAAGTATGATATTCCTGAGATAAGATTTATGTGGAAACATAGTTATCACTCCTAATGATGATAACATGCTAAGCCACATACTGTTTGTATGGGTGGCTTTAGACTAGCAAATGAATCTGCATGCACTTACCATCTAGTTCTTCACTGCTGAAACAATTTAGGCACAACTAGGGGAATTATGAAAACTTTGACATACAAATTTTCTACTTGCACAGTAACCCTTTCCCTGATACTAACTTTTCTCTCTTTCCATTAAGATTGACTGTGCAGAGCCAACACTACCAGCCAGTCTGATCCCATCCAGGTCAGGTTTTCTGCAAGCTTTTAAAAGCCTTTATCAAGATTGTATAATATGGATGAGTATCTGAAAGAATTTTGTTTTGACAGTGATCACTTAACTTCACCCCGAGAAGATCTTGCATCCTCTTTGGAAAACACTGCACCAGTAACGGGTAAGCCCTTAATTTGAGGCACAGATGTGTGAACTTTTTGCATTGAAAGTCTTGGAAATAGATATGCTCAAGTCTGCGTATTTACTGAGCAGTAAGAGATCTGTCTTCTGTTGCCTGGTATTATAGGCTGCCTTGTTATAGAGGAAAAATCACCCAAGTGCTCACGTGAAAAAGAAGAAGTTGTGCCAACTTCCGTAGCAATGGAGAAAAACAACGATAAGGATCCGGCTGGTCCAGTATCAGGTACAGTAACCGCTGCAGCGCACTGGCACTCACATAGCGAGGAAATGGTTTGCTTCCAGCACATCTTTGAAGTGAGGAAGCTGAGTAAGAAAAATAACTTGTGAATTTTTATTCTTGCAAATATTTTCACCTGCAAGTGCTCTCAACCTTCCCTGAAACTCTGGGTAGGAATAAGGCTTTATCTGCTTGCAGGAGGCCTGTAACCTACAGCACTGCAAGAAGCATGAAATAATGAACATGAAATAATTTAGTGAAATCTCAATGCTTGCTCAGCTGGCAAAACATTGTGTGGGTATTAAACCCCAGGCAATTTTGGGAGGAGAGAGAATGTTTCCATGGCTTTAAAAAGTTTAGTGACACAGTTAGACCAAACGTTTCCCTCTTTCAAAACTGCTCAGTGCATAAGAAACTGGGATGGGTCAAGAGGAGAGGTGAGGATAGAGGCCTTTGTGTATGTATTGCTATAGCCGTAAACACCCAGAAGAGTTATTCTTACCAGATGTGGTGGTGCTTCTTCCACTTAAAAACCAAAAGCAAAACAAAACTGGAGTACATGTACACAGCATATTAAGCTATTTTTAAAAAAACTGATCTGAATAAGCAGCACAGAATACATGTGCATGCTTGTTTGTAATCATTTTTAACCTTTACCTAAATATAAGACTTCTTGTTGTCACTTCTTGTTTGGTTTTGTTTCTTTCTTTAGTACTATCTTCCTGAAATCTAATTCAGTCCTCTCGCTTAAGTGTATTTTCTTTCTACTAATTTGCCTCTGCTGTTAATTTTCATATGTGGTCTAGGTGCCTTTGGCAAGGAGGAAACAGATATGCAAAACAGATCAGAAAAAGTCCAATAGCTTTAAAGTCTGAAAAATCCTGCTGCCTGTTGTACACCTCTGAAAAGAAAGTGATTCTAGCTTTAGAAGGGAGGCACTGATGAATCTCCACTTGTGGCTTTTGCTAGCACCACACAATGTCTTCTAAAGCTGTTTGGGAGCCAGGTCAGTTATGTAGGGCTGCTGCAAAAATCAGCAGGGACAAAAGGGAGTGCTAAGCAGAGGTGGTTGTTCATGTGAAGGATGAAAAGAGAAAGTACTTAAAGCCTGAAGGTGGCCTTGTGTGTTTTTTATTTGTGTTTTTTTTTCCCTGTGTTATTTCTTTGACTTGCATCTGTGTTGGTGGGTGTGTGTATGACTACATAAACAGAAAAGAAAAAAATATTTCTACATGTTCTAAAAGGTATAAATAGTTACCAGAGCTAATGTTACACAAGAAGTTAGTGTGACTCTCGGACTTTCTTCAGTTTCTTAAATATCTTCCTTTAAAAATATTTTTAAATAGCTGTTTTCCTGGAGGTTACTTTTGCCTGCTTTAAAGCTTTTCTAAGTTGCGGCACCTGTAAGTTTATGTTGCATTTGAACTGGCACCATCAGTTCCTGAACTTAGCAGTTCATCACCACTCATCTTCTGGGAAAGATGAAAGAGTTATTTTGTTTGCTGTACCAGCACCAGTTCAGTTTTTAGGCGCAAAGGACAGGCCAAGTGGCAGACTGTTTGAAGCTTATGGACACCTGAAATACCACAACTGTATGCATTTTATGACCTAGTTGTGCTCAAGCTCCTCTGTAACAGCAGCTGAAGTGCCATCTATTTCTTGACTTTCACATTACAGAATATCAGATGAAGAAGAAAATTACAAATACGCCTTGCTTTTCCTGTTAGTTTGTGCATGGGATTTCTTTTTCACATATTAATGCGCTTACAGAATCCAAACAAAAATTAATGATAAATAATTTCTTTAAATAACAAACAAACAAAACCCTGTGCTGGTAGCAAAATAATGAAATTAATTAATGAAATTCATCTAAGGGAATGTTACTGTAACTCTTGCAACTTCAACTAAGGCAACTACAGCCAGGAGTAATATTCTCACTTGTAGGCATGTAACAGTTCTTTTGGGGAATTTTTTTTCCCCAAACCAATTATAGTTATGCCTATTTCATGTCTTTATAGTGTTATTCCTGCT